GAAAACTTAGTTTCATTTGTCTTTTACTTGTTTCCTTCTTACCATAAAGCAAAATTCCCAAGCAGAAGCTACATAAGAGGGACAAAACCAATCTTCCAGACACTTGTAAAATACACTAATTGTTCCATGCAGGCCATGAAGATGATGTGACAGCCAAATAGTTAGAAGTTTTTCAGTTGAAGTGAGCAATATGACAAGCTTGCAGTTTCTCTATCTACAAACCACAATCATGCAAATAACATCTTATTACTAAGATATGTATTTATGTTAACACAGGCTTAATCACTTTGATAGAAGGCATTAAAAAAGTATTATTAGGGCATGTAAAGGCTTATTAAGGCATAATACAGCATTCTAAGGACACCACAAGCTCCAGAAGTGCAGCAATGAAAAGAAACTGCAGCATCAGTGTCTTTAATTTCAAAATCTAAATACACAGAAGATGGCAGAGTTCTGCCTGTGCACTAGAAGAAGCCCCATTAATCAAACCTGTTTTTCTTACCACACTAGCTTCCAACAGGGTATTTCTCTTTCATTAAAAATACCACTTTATCTCTGCCACCTGATGGCATGAACACCAGATAGAGTTCATTAAATGCATGACTTCAACTTCAGCCTCACTTTGCATCAGCATGCTTAAGTAATGCGACTCTTCCCAAAAAAAGGCTAGTGTCTTATCACTTCATGAGTGACTTTCTCAGTTCTCCTCACTTGCATGCTTAGCTTTCAACTAGCCTCCCCTTTAAGAGGTGTAGGGTATACAATTCACAAGTGACAACAAAACTGACGCTTTAATAAGCTTGCAGACTAACTGATCCTTTCCCAGCAATTCTGAAGCAAAGCGAATTCTAAACTGAATTCAGAACACAAGGCTGCCTTCCTTGCTAGCAGCAGCCAAGGCCACCATTAAATGCTATTTGCATGCCTATCCCCCAGCTAGCCATGCTGTATTCAGCACTAACAGCTCTCCCTTCTGTTATCCCGCATGCGAGCAAAATCATTCTTGTTCACAACAAACTAATGTTTGGTGTTTTGGGAATGTCAATTTGCACTGATTTTGACCAGTGACTTAGGGACCACATGCACACTTTAACCAGGAGTAAAAAGTGGCCTTTTGTGTATTTTACCTCCTTAATATTTGTGTACCAGTGAACCAGTTACTTCAAATTCAGAGAAATGTGAAAACCAATATTGCTATGTACTCATTTAGCATCAAGTTAGCTTCTTACTGCGGCTGAAAAATATGGCTGTTGATTTATAGCTTTATTTCATATATTATGGTAGCTTCTCATCTTAACCCTCCTGCCCTTCTGCATTTGAGTATTCCCAGTTTTTGTGGCAGCTTCCTACAGGTCACAGTTTGCAATTTAAAACACATACTAACGGGTCATGAATTAGATTAACACAAGTGGCATAACCCCATCAGAAGCAGCTATCCAGATGAACTTTGCAGCACTGCTCCATTGGTATGCTGCATAATTCTGTCCTTTGCCAAAGGGGAATTTTGTATTTTACATGGAGATACAAATAAAGCAAACAGCACTATTACTATGAAATGAACACTTTAGGTGGATCACTCATTTCTCTCACCCCAAACAACAAAGGCTCCTGAAGAGTCTCAAAGAGCTCCTTTAAGCATTAGAGTACCTCAATGCTGTTAGACAACCCAAGACTACATGTTGTCTGCAAGATCTACACCAAAGTATAAATTGTTTGTTTCTTTTTATTGCCCTCTTTGTTTTGTAACCTCTTTTATCACCTCTCAGAGCTGGTTTTAGAAGCAAAGTGCTAGACAAAGAGCTATTGACTGGCTGAAAGGAACCCATCATTTCTTTGTTTTCAAAGTCTCCTGGAATATAAATGTTAATCCTGTTCCCAACCCCTCTATCAGTCTAACTCTTGCTTATTTATAGATGCAGAGTCCCACCAAAAGTTTTTGAGTTAGATATCTCTCCATTTGGTCCTGCCACACCACTCCATTCCTCTCAACCTTCAACATACTGTGTAACTCTTGCAGCCATGCCCTTTTACAAACACTAACTACTGCCTCTTCCAGGTGCAAACTCCTCACTTCCACCTGAACACCCTGTAGTGGAAATCTCTATCCTAGGTACTCAACACTCCTTCATATCCCACCCACAAGACTAACCACTTCCTCAACACTTCGACTCCAGTCTCTGAAATCTTGTTCTTCCATTCTCTAACAGAGGCTGACAGAACTCACTTTGCAGCTTGCATACTTTCTCCAATAGTGATAAGAAGAAAAAAAAAAAAAAGGGGGGGGGGGTAAGGGAAAGAGAAGGGGGTGAGGGAGGGAAGAAGCATGCTTGATTCAAATATATATTTAAAAATACCTACCTAAATTTACAAGATTTTGACGAAGTCTACAGATACAGCCACACAGGCACTTGGGAGACATTGCCCCATTTTGTCATCTTCAGTTGCTGCACATTTAGAGTCAAATGCTTCATATTACAAGGATAGTAATAAATCCTTCCCCTGGGATGGCAAACAGAGCTGCCTGCTGGGCTACCTGCATACTCCTAGTCTGTCTCATCTAAAATCCCAATCTCAGCAACAAGAATTTCAAGGATGTTGATTATTGGCCTCTGCAGCACACAGTACTCTCAATGTGTTGACCTATATCAAAACAGAAAAGTACCTATTCTGAAAGAAACTTTGCACTCTACATCTCTAGGCGTAGCTGCATAGGTATACACAATACAAAACCTTCACGTAAGTACTGTTTTTAACACTAGATTTTCAGCAAATGAAAGCATACAGCAGATGCTGCTTTATTAAGACTTCACTCAGGAAAATGCCAAAGCAAAGGGCCGAAGTAGGGATCTTCAGAGTGTACTACTATTTTTCCAGATTAATACTATTATTGAGGAATATGCATGTGTCTTAATTTCATTGCAGTCTGGACAGGAAATGCCACAGGTACTAGTGTCACTAGTGTCTTCACAAAATGTGCTTTGATTAGAACTGGAGTTAAATTGTGTATTATTAAAATTTATTTTTCTTGCCTAGGCATTAAGCATTTCCCACGATTGGGAAGGAAGAAGGAGGCTGAGTCTAACAAGAACCAAGAAGGCTAATGTTAATTTTTCCTCACAGGTCATATATTCTATGAGGAAATAAATACAGCACTGGCGCTTGACAATGAGAAGTCAGCAGCATCAGTTACAGCCTGCAGCCATAAATTCCAACCATCAGCAATGCTAATCAGTCATGTATTTTATGGTAATTTAATAATTAAATTATTCCTGTACATAATTTCATCACAGGTAGAATAACCCTACTTTTCTGGATAGTTTAGTGAAGTCACAAAATTTTATAATTGGTGGCATCATAACCACACAGCTGTAGTTTAAAAATAACATTTTTCAGAAGATACTGTATTGAACATTTCTTTGGTATCCCAAACCAGGAAAGGAAGAAGAACTAAAAATGTTACTAACAGATGTTCTCTCTTCACCTTATTGTTTCCATTGAATTATACAGTATTTTAAAGTGCAGAAACTCTACGTTATACCTGTGCACAAAGCTGGGCTTGAAAGAGATCAGCAAAAAAAAAAAAAAAAAATTAAACAGTCATGCCTGCTTCCAAATCTCTGTAAAGCCAACTGAAATATCCAATGAAACCACAGGTGACAGATCTGCTTATATTATTTGAGGACTTGGCTTTGGGTCTCCCAGTTTCATCCATTCAGGTATATTTTTGAAGTAAAGCTCAACCAGACACTTCAAAATTAGAGTCACAATGTCCTGGGTTTGAGTGAGTGGTGGTGGTTTCTGGTAGCAGGGGAGGGGGCTATAGGGGTGGCCCCCTGTGAGAACCTTCTCAAAGCTCCCCCAGCTCCAAGCCAGCTCCACCTCTGCTTGAAAACTGAGCCAATCAGCTGCACCTCTGTGATAACGTATTTAAGAAGGGACCTGATGAGAAGTTGCAGCAGCCGCGTGAACACCAAGGTCAGTGGAGGAGCAGAGGAAGAAAGGAGGGGGGAGGTGTGCCGGAGCAGACCCCCCTGTATCCTGTGAGGAGACATCAAGGTGGCCCCCCACCACCACCCATGAACGTCTAGGGTGGAACAGACATTGATCTATGACCTGTGAGGGGCCTCAGAGGGACAACTAAGGTGTCTACGCCTGAAGGAGGCCGGGATCCTGTGGGAAGAAGCAGCCCCCACTGTTGTAGTTCAGAGGACTGCAGCATGCGGGGGTGTCCCACGCTGGAGCAGCTTGGGAATGGCTGCAGCCCGTGGGAGGGACTCCAGTTGGAGAAAGCAAGGGTCCCACGCCAGAGCAGTGAGGGAAACGCTGTAGCCCTTGGGAGGGACTCAAGTCAGAGAAAGTTTGTGGAAGACTGTCTCCTGTGAGAGGGCGACCAAAATGGAGCAGGGGGAACAAGTTCCAGAAGCTCCTTCCAGCCCAAAGATGGAAGAAGCGGCAGCACTGACTGCACCCCCCCCCCCCATCCCCTGCCCCTGCAGCACTGGGGGAGGAGGTAGAGATATTGGGAGCAGAGCTGAGCCCAGGAAGAAGGGAGAGGTGGGAGGAAGGTGTTCTCAAGATGTGGTAATGCTTCTTACTGTCCTGCTCTGTTAAGTGTTGGTATCTGTAATAAATGTATGTTCTTTTTTTTCTTCCCCTAACAAGTCTGCCTTTTGCCCGTGACCATAATGGGCGATTTGCCCCTTCCGGTCCTATCCAAAGTGTGGTTTATTTTCTCCTTCTCAGCACTTGGCGGGGGGGGAAGGGCGAGGGTGAGGAGCTGGGTGGTGTTTGGTTGCCCTCTGAGCTGAAACCGTGACACACAGTTTGACTTCATGAGTGATTATGTCACATTCATAAAGTGTGGCAAGAATAAAGCATATCATCAATCCAAATCTTGAGTTTTAGCTAGATTCATGAGGCTCCTAGGTAAGGTTAATGAACCATAGCATTATGATGCAGCTGTATAGAGGACGTAAGAGTAGACAACTATAGAATCAATATGACTTCAGAGTAATTCTTTTAATCCCAATTAAAAGTGCATCATGAACATCTTTTCACTAAGCAGATAGTTAGAAGTTTTACAACAAACGTAAGGACTCCATTACCAAAACTTAGGAAGAAATACTTTATTTTCTTACCTACTGTTCACAAAGCCCAGAGGAGACCACTCCCCAAATACCTAAAAGATCTGCAGCAAACAAGCCTCTGTGCAGAGAACTTCTCATAGTCCTTGGTAGAAAACAAGGCACAGCACATCTAGGCAGCTTACACAACTTGTTCAGGCCACACTTACCTTCTCAATACCATGAGTTCCATATATTCTTCCCTTTTGGCAGCAACTATAAAGAGATGCATGATGCTGTCTGGCAAGTATCCCACTACTGAACAGGTAACAGTTTTTGGTAGCATATAAGGTCAGACACCTGTTCATCAGAAGTCACAAAACCACCACTCCACTGCTGAAAAATGGGAACAGAATAACTAGTAAGGCTTCAACCACAGCAGCTATAAACCCCTTGAGTCACTCAGCATACAGAGTTACAAATGACCAAAGCTTCTAGCTTTTTTACAAAGACCAAGCTGAACAGTCATTAATTCAAATACATTTATAGTAAGTAAACATTTCAGAATCAAAATTGGAGGGAGTAAAATGAAACACTCACATTCTTCCTTTACTCTCCATCCTCCTAGAGAAGGAATGGTGATTTCTGATAGAAGTTTGATCAGTACAGATGACAGACTCTCACAAACTGAAAGTTTTGGCTTAGGTATTGGCTATGTAGTAAAGTACATTCAAGGAGTCCTTCTATCTATTTGGCTTTTTCAAGTACTGGGCAGCTGTTCCTTTTACAAATAACAAATAGCCCCTTTTTGCCTGCAGAGTATGAAATCAAAATCTATCTCTCCCAGTCCATAAACATAATGAGAAACCGATTTAGCTGAAGCCTCCTGGCTGACTTGGGTATTAATGTTAACTTCTCTAAAATGAAAGCACTATGAAAGACTTATTTTCTATTTAGCAATATCATACCTCCTACTGATAAATCTGGGTTGTGCTACTGATCACTTAGACATTATACACCTATGACATTTTAAGAATAAAATCTGGATAATTAAAATACACAGTACCTGGAAAAACACCACAGATGTCTAAAGATAGAAAGAAAAAGTAAAAGGCTTTAATACATTTCACTATTTTGTGCAGATAATTATTTAACAGACTACAGCCAACCAATGAAGAAACAAAATACAAATACAAACGTTTCAGTCTTTCTCACTCTCTTTTCTCAAGACTCTTGACTTGCCCTTTGAGCTTCAGTAGTAGTTAGTCCACTGATACACAACCTACACAGAAAATAATTTTTCAGTTGTACCACTAAATTGTTAGTGTCATTAGTGGTACAACAGTTCAGTGCTGTACCACTAATATTTTCTTGATTACTGTAGAGATAAATTTGTAACTGGAGTACAACAGTAACTACTGAAAACATCCCCTAGCTGTGTTTAAGAAATGTTGCACATCATAGTTTTAGATTAAATTAGAATTTGTTTACATTGCTAGCATTGCAGTGATTGGCAAAATTGTCTCTAAAAGTCACTGTATATTAAAAGGCAGATTGTTACATTTTATGATGACTAAACAAATTAAATGACAAGTAGGTACCAAGAACTAAGATTGAAAACTATAACCAGAGCTTATTTTCAACAGAAAGGTATGAGTGCACATTCCTTCTGAGTGGAATAACTTGATTATTTGATTGATATCCCAAGTTACTAACTCTTCTTCATAAAATGAATAAATCCAAAAAAGTCCTCACCAAACAGAAATAGCTAGATCATTACAATCTACTCAGGAGCAATAGAATGCCAATATCTTCAGATGCTTACAGCTGTATTGTAAAAGCTGGTTCAACAAAGGAAGGTGAAATTTGATTTGATAAAGTCTCATTGCAGCAGACAAAAATCAAGCTTACATTTTGCTTGCTGGCAGAAAAAGAATATTCAATTCACAAGAACACATAACAAAACCAAACATGCAATCTATTGCTTTCAAAACTTTTACTGCAACATAACATTGAAGTAAACAGTAATTAGATATCTATAATTTTTCCTCAAAAGAGAATACATAAACAGGGTAATAATTTTACCTGTATGGATATAGCTTCTCAGATCATTTGAGGGGCACAAAGGAGGGGGTGGTTTTTCTCAATGATCAAGACACTTTTAATTGGAATGGGTTTTCATTTGAGAAAGTCAACATTGTTTTAATCCTGCTTTAAACAGAATATTGTGCTTCTTGTATTACTTAAACACATCTGAAAAAAGCAAAACAACTACTTATATTTTGGCATTCATGTTTACATTTGCTCAGATCTTTGAGATTTCACAAAGCTGCTATCCAGTGTTGCCATGAAATACAGATTGTAGAACCTAGGTAGTACAGGCTACTTCCAGTACCAATACTAAGTAGAAAGGAACATGAAGCAGGGCATTACACTCTATTTCTGACCTAGTACAGTAAGAGTTAAAACCTATAAAAAATGTTAACCTACAGTTTATAGAAGAAATTAATTATCTGCAGAAGCTGATTTTTGGTTGTATATTATTTTACACTGTGGGATTTTTCTGCATCTGCTAATTTAAAGCAGATATACTTGCTGCTTTCCTTGCTTTGTTTCTTATATTCTCATCTCCCCCTATCCCCATATACCAAGCATTATGAATATAAGCCCAAATATCCCAGACAATCCAGTGAACAAAATTAGTGTAATGCACTGGCGTGAGGTGTAAAATAAAAAAAAGTGTCTCAATCTTCATCAAAGTTCTGTTGTAGAAGAAAGTTGGCAGCCAAGTTTTCATTCTTCTCACAAGCAAAATATGCCTGTATCACAAGTCCTTCAGGAAATCCTAATGCCTTTAACTGAAGAAAAGAAACAATTAGAAAGTACATTTTGTATATTGAGATTCTTTGTTTGCCTAGTACCTTTAGATGCCACTTAAGCAATTGCTGTCATCTTGAAACAAATGTTGCTGACTAGCTCAATACAGTCTTTAGTGAGCAAGGAATAAGAAGGTGTTGCCTCCGTCTTTAGTAAAAACTTGAAGAAGCGATTTGATTGAGTCTAATGAAGCACCATAAAACATGTCACTTTTCTTTCACTACCACAGTAAGTCACTAAAACAAACTTGGGTCATAGTAATGTCAGGAAGTAATGGCACATTGCACTGTTCCATAAAAAAACCCCTCAAACAATGCCCATTTTAAACTATTAATTATACAAAGCTTAGAATTTTTAACAAAAGATGCCTGTAACTAAAGTTCCCAGCCTGTGATCACTAGTAGGTAGCTCAACACATTACGTTACACCATACTTTCAAGTGTACCAACTGGACTTCACTTTTAAAAAGACTGATTACATGTTGCAGCCATGAGAAGTAAGTTGAAAGAAATCTGTTTTTCAGAAGTCAAGGAACTAATATCTGGGACACAATGACAGGTGGGGATGATAACACTAGAGAAGAGCTTATTACTGTGCCAAGGGAAATGGGTTTAGCCTGCACTTAAAGATATGCAGCAAACCAATCTTTGTTCTAGCCAAAGGCAAGTATGTACAACCATTTAAAGATTTTCTTAAAATCCTCACAGCACCTGCAAGGCATTTTACATATAAGGCAGATCCAATCTCTGTGGGAAACTATGTCCTATTATCCCTTAGCAACCATTCTTAGATTTAATTTCATACTTACAAGCAGCATGAATGTGTCCACTGTAATACTAAGACACCTAAATTTTGAAGTGTGTCTTTCAGGGAAAGGTGAAAAAGCATACAGGTCTCTGCTGGGTTTTGGAACAGGTTGTAGAGGTAATGCTCTACTGCATCAATGGTTTTAAAAGAAAATGCAGCAGACTAGAGAGGATGATCTGTGAAGTATGTGGACAAACAGTTGTATTAGACTAGTTTTATTAATTGTCAGCTTCCTTGAGGTCTAGAGAATTGGCATCTATATAAAAATTGTTATTTTCTGACGATCCTTACATAACCTTTTGCTTTGACAGTTGAAAAACAGTCTTTGATACACAAAAGCACTACCACAGTATGACATAAGTCTTTGCAATTTGTTCTAAGAAAAATCCCAGAGGCATTGCCACCTACACAAATACATATTTAGTTGCTGCTACAGTATTTATGAATGCAATATACTGCCCCCAAGTATATTTTTATAGACATGTTTATCTGTATTTTTAGAAAGCTATAATTAATTCTCATGGGCAGACAACTAACTGGGTTAAGTAGCACCTTCAACTAATCTACTTAACTATGAGAGCTCTTACTATCCAAGTACTTTGCAAACAGTGCTCATGCAGACACACCTTTGTACCTGAAAACCTATCACAGCATAGTCTAGAACAGTGCCATCTGAGGCTTTTGCAAGAGGAATTACTGCCTGAGTTTCCATTCCTGAGGGAAACCCATTCAATCATCAGTTATTACAGATGGCCTCTGATCACATTTAAATGCTCTGCATCTTCTCAGCATGAGATATTCAAGAGATTTTAGACTCAATTGCTATAAGGCAAGAACAGATGTTATTTGAAACAAGACTACACCACCTATGAAATAACAAATATAAAGTAACAAAAAATGATGCAGAACCAAAACCAAAAGTTTAAACAAAAGTTTAAATTAATGTATGTCTTAAGCATGCACCAGACTCAACTCCCTACAGTAACAGCCCAGCAACATTTAAAAGAAAGGCTCACCCTTTCTATAGCTTCTTTTTCCTGAGGTGTTACTTGAATGTAGTTCATATGACCATTTCCAGCTTCTGCTACTCCTCCAGTGCTGGCACCATCATCACTAGCACTTAAACCTTGGCGGGACTCAACTGGCTCATTCAACATATGAATAAAATGTTCCTGATGTTGGCTTATTTGCTGTGATGCATGAGAAAATAAAGGAAATAAATATATTGAAATAAAGCATGTTTAAGCCTACCAAGAGGCAAGTAAGAATATTTATTTTCAGTGAATTAAGTAGTCAAAAGAATGTGTAAAAAGAACACAGAGAAAATGATTAAATCTAACCATAAAAAAAATGCAATTTCATGTTTCAGTTCAATCATGGTGACCCTTCCTTCTTCCTGATACCCTTTGCACCTTTTCGGAGGAGACTCAGACTGACTTCTAATGTCAAAGAAAGTATGTTCTGTACAGCAACAACTGCTGAAAAGCTGACAAAGGAATGTTGCAACTGCTATTAACACATTATCTCAGATAACATCAACATATCCATTTCTTGTAAAGCTAACTCAAAATTAGAAACAGTATTTTATTGTCCTAAGATTCACCTGCAGTAGTTGAGGGTTTTCCCGTCCTATCTGCTGCAGCAATGCTGGTAACAGAGAAGGATTTTGCTGAATAATTTGTCTCATCTGCTGGAACTGTGGCTGATTTCGTAAAAACTCAAGTGGATGTCCTGAAAACCAATGAGATAACACGTTTTTTGAAAAGTTACCAAAATTCTTAATAAAATACATAAGTACATTGTAACTGTAGATAGACATAGGACATGAAAGCAGACAATATACCCCTCACTGAGGAATGGAAGAGCTTGCTTCCTCACACTAACTTACTCTAGTTTTAAGCAAGAATTCTTTATACTAAGGTTAAACAATGCACTTTTCTCTTTATGTCTCATCTCTGAGTAACCTCAGAGACACCGACCCAGCCTACTGCCTTGTCTTTATGCCTACAGAGTTCTCTACCTCCTGCAATAGGTCAGTTCTGCCCTTCTCAAGCTTGCCTTCCTGTATATCCTATACTGTCAGGCACTGCCTTGAACGCAGCAGTGCCTAAAGTGCTCTGAAATATCCAATTCCCCCCTTATCCTCTCCTTATGGATGATGTCACGTGTGCCTGTCACTACTACCTGTACGCTTAACATGCTGACTTCTATGAAGACTTACAACTGGAAGACCATCTCTGCACAGCCTAAGTCAGACCTTTCCTACTCCTTGATTATGCTCCTTTCACACATTTACTTCTCTTTAAGACAGAGTTCTCTTCAGCAGGCACCAATCGCTCCATCCATGTGCTGCACTGCTGAGTGAGGAGTCATCAGTCGTGGACAGGTCTCAGATGCTACACACCTCATAGCCTTATTGCAGGTTTCTCTCTTGGTATTCCAACTTCCAAGCGATGAATGCATCCATATAGTCACAGTCAACAGCGCATAGTTAGCCACAGCAGTAGGAAGCCAGAGTTTAAGTGAGAGAGAACATAACCCCTTCCACATCTGTGGTCTTATATTTAAATCCAGAACACCGAATCAAAGGAATTGGGCAAGTTCACAGCATTTTTAGAAACCTCATGCTTTATTCCAGATACATCTACATACATCAAAAGCTATTTGTTCCAAGCGAGTACCGCACTTGGAATTCCCATGTTACAGCTCTTACCCAATTACTTTGATCAGTTCACAAGCACCAGGATCTTAAAGCTCACTGAAGCAGAGAATGTGTAAGTGCACATGTTTATCACATCCTCTCAAATATAACCTTTCTTACCTCCTAATGAACTAGTAGTCGTTGGTATAGTTGCTACTGCTGCTGCCACTGATGAAGACTGAGAGGCATCACTGCTTCCTGCTTGAGGGGGCTCAGCCACAGCCTGATTATCTCCAGGTATACCCTAAAGCCACAGAAGTTCACATAATTACTTACAGAATGCTAAAAGGTATTTGTTTTACTGCATGTATAATAATAAGCTTTCAGAAGTAAAGGAAAAACATTAACGCTTTCCCTGCAAATACAAAGTAAGATGCTGTGATAGGTATGCATTAGCAACTGGAAGAGAATACTGTGGAGTCATTTATTTTTTTTGACAAGAAAAATATGTTGTTCATATAGCGAAGTAATAAAGCACGCACTGGACCAGTTTAAAATACATTTCACTCCATAAACACATGCTTGCTTTGGATCCTGTTCTAAGATACCTGATATAAGGAAAAACATTAAACTAAATAGACTGTTACAATATGGTATAGTGTTATGCAAATGAAGTTATATTACAGCAACAGAATTGTAGCACATAATGCTAACAGTGAGATTATAGATGCCATACAATCTGGCAAGAAATAAAGAGAAGATAAAAGAACATGGCTCTTTGGACCTATTTCTTCAATGCAACAGCATGACAATTATAATTTACTATATCTTAAGTGTGAAAAGGCCTGTACGTTATCAGATTTTAGCAGTTAAAAGTTAACTTGCATTTTGTTTATTTTCCATGTGCAAACAACTGCATATAGGAACTATTGCTCAGGGGGATGAAACTGACAAATCTAAAAAAGAACAATTAATAGTAAATTAGAATGCGGGCTATACAACCGAGACAGACCTTACTCTATTACCTTCCTCCTGCACAGGAATCCTTCCAACTTCCCACTCTAACCATGCTTTCCCCACTGCCTCTAAACTCCTGTACCAAATCTGTCTTTTCCATCCTCCTCCCTGAAGTGTAGTGACCTAGGCAGCTTAGCATGGGACAGACACCAAGAAAGATTCCTATATGACTTCAAGTCCTGGTGGTACAGGCAAGGGAAGTTGCCCAACCGGAACCCAAAAGAGGAAGACTCCACAAAACAGTAAACCCCTTGATACACACAGAGTAACAGTGAGGGGAGCTATGTTAAACCCAACCCCAAAGAGGGAAGACTATACAAGATCCTCTAACCTCACAATGCTCAGTTTCCAGGCTATCAAAACATTCTGGTTTTCTACAGTCTTCCAGCATATTAAATCCAGATCAGCCTGAGAAGGCAGCAGCACTGCTATAACTGAATACATTTCACCTGCCTCAAATGAAGAAGGCACCCTTCAGTTTGGAAACCACAAAACATAAGGAACAGGACGGGTGGAAATAACTGCAGAACTTCAGTGTAACCAGACAATGAAGAGGTTTGGCAAACCTACCATAGAAATCACTGGTAGGTAACAGACTAAAAATCCCCCTGTAATCGCTATATATAGTCATCACTATAATCACTATAATATACTCATCACTATAGCTGAACAGAAAGGTCAAATAGATAGCTAATACAAAAGCCACAACTAGAAGGGGGGAACTGAACCATGCTCCAGGCAAACCTTTGCCTCACCTGTGAGATAAGAAGCACATCAAAGTATAAATCAAGTCCACATTTAAGCCACTCAGAGGAATAAATGCAAGTTTTCTCTGTCACACACTTCATTACCATTACATGGCTTGGTCAGCTTGCTACACATTCCTCCCTCCAAAGAGAGGAAAGAAAATTCCATTCATTAAATAATTCCGAGGTAACTCTCTCTTATCAGTGCCTTACAGAGCACTGCTTAAATACCGTTTCCCATCAAATCAGTCATTTCTGGTAGACTAAGTATAATGTAGGAACTTGGGTAAATCTTGAAATTACTGGTTGATTTCACCTATTTACAGGCATATGTTGTCACTGCAACCTGTGCCCAGATCCAACAGCATATACTTGTTTAAACCTTAAGTTTGCTCTTGAATGAAAGCACTGTGCAAACTAGTCCAACCAAATTTACTTAGAGATGATTTGTCATCTTGAATATCATCTTAACTCTTAAATACAAGCTTGAAGTATCACTCTTCAAATAACCGAGGCTGTGTACAATTGTCATCAGACAAGACTAGTGAGGTGTATGCACCTTGTTCATACAGCTATTCAACAGAATAAAGCATGGTATCAATTCGTGTCCAATTAATTTTGAATGTAAACATTGCTCAGACAGCAAAAAGGCCATTTTTGCCTTATGGTGGATTAAACAATTGTTTACCATTTCACTGAGCCCTAGAGCAGTTTTTAGCTGACATTGTTCTCCACAGGGTAATAATCATACCAGGTCCAGTCCCAGGAACATTCACATTTAGAACAGAATAGTTTTAGTTCGAAGGGACCTACAACAATCATCTAGTCCAGCTGCCTGTACACTCCGGGGCTGATCAAAAGTTAAAGCATGTTTTTAAGGGCATTGTCCAAATGATTCAGACACTGACAGGGATAGAGCACCAACCCCCTCTCTAAGAAGCCTGCAAAGTGTTTGACTATGGTTACAGTTAAGAAATATTTCCTAAAAAATTCCAAATCAGAAGGCTGCAACCAACAGTCTGGTGGTTGGAGGAAAGACAGGATGCCTCCCTAATTAAGGTTTAGGAAATCTTTGAGTTAAAGGGATCTGTATCTAAATGCCTTCAAACATGAGTCTGGGGCACAGAAAAAGAAACAGTATCTTTTGGAATTGAGATCATCTCCTGTGACCACAGCTCAAGGATGTAAGATTACATCTAGATCGTCAACCATGAAGCCATGAAAACTGAACAGCTTGTCATCTGAACCATGGAGAATAAGTGGAATCCTCAGGGGTCATTTAAGGAACAGCTACGTTTTAAGCATACTCTCCTGACATTTTCTTTCCAATACTTTACAGGTACCTTTGGTGTACCGGTTCTTTAAACCAGGACAACAGTATACGCTTACAGCTCTCAACACCCTAATCCTACTCTGCAGATTATAGAAAAGATAACACTGATGATAGTTTGGAGGCAGGTATAGTAGAAAGTCAAAGAACAGTGCCATCAGTGGACCAGTGTTAATTAAACAAGAAGCTTGTTTTGATGCAGCAGAGCGGTAAGGAAAATGTTTAGACCCCAGTAGATCAAGAACAATTCGAAAGACCATTTGCAGTAACAGTGTGATAAAAAATAGAAGAATTTTACTTTCACTAAAAGTAATTAAACAATTACTTTTACTGAGTTAGGCTAAAGCTGTTATTAGTACAACGATCCAAATTTTAAGAAAAGTAAAAGAATTTACTACTGGGAAAAGGGAGGAATTGATCAGAGGAAACACCAACCCAACAGCCCCCCCCCTTTTCTTGGGATGCTCACCAGATGGCCCATATCAAAGGGTGGTAACTCCTTTGCAATGGAATGAGAAAGAACAGGGTGGGCCACCCCTGGTATCTCTTGTCCTTGAGATAAGAGAGGAACTGAAACCACTGAGCCAGAAAGACAAAGGAGCTGCAAGTTGGCCCAGACTTGAAGGACAAGGTGTACGTGACCACAGGACTGAGTTGGCGCAGAAGGAAGGGTCAACGAGCGAACACAGTGAAGAAGACTATGAGCCTTCATCTGCAGACCCCTGCCCACGACCGCCAGGGAGCACTGCGCAAGCTCGACGGGAGGCTGGAGCGAGGAGAAGAAAGAAGAAGATAAGATTGTAGAAGGAGCCAGGAGGCGTGCTGAAGATGTTGAAACCGGCAGCTGTGTGGATAAAAGGGGGTTTGAAACTTAAACAATTTGGTGAGCCTGGACGGAGCTGTGACTCCTCAGCCATCCCAGCGCTGCATTTGCTCTCTTACCTTAATAAAGATTCATTAATCCATATTTGGATGTGATTTGCCTTAATCTACCTATAACAACAGGATTCTTCTAGATGGAAGTCTAGAAGTCTGCCCGCTAATACGGTCTCTATGAGCAAGACTGTTCCTCCCCCACTCCCTTTATCAGAAGGAAAAAAAGGAAAAAACAAAGTCTCAGTAGCAGATAATACGAAACAGAAAAGGGATGACCTTATATAACAGAAGGACCCATTTTAAAACACAGGACCTACTGAAGGAGTAGAAAAGAACTGCTCAGACCAGTCAGACTTAATCTATTTGGCAGACATGCCACATGTTGAACTCCATGACAGGGATGCTCTATTTCTATTCAGGACTTCTTGAACAGAAATAAACTAGAGCACAGAAATACCAGTCTGAGTGTACAAGCACTGCACCCTGTACATGACTGGCACATGCACAGCAAGCTCAACACTTAAAGGAGACACTGGATTTACGGTATGTGTAGAGAGTAAATGAGCAGTAAAATCAATGGGTTTGAGGCAAGAAAAACAAACATTTGGGATTCCAGACTTAAGGCAGATAGATGGGAGCTACTGCATTCACCCTTAGGGCAAGGTGATATTTATCACCTTTTGTTGGCCTAATACTAGATGAGAACTGAACTTTTTACATTCATGTACTCAAAACATGTGTTGTCTGTTTAAAATCTGCAGGTTACAAAGTCTTGGGATCATTAATGTAAGTAGAAAGCACATCAGTGACTTGGAGTTACTGAAGAAAAACTTACATTAACAACAGCAAAGTTTTGTAACTGAAGGTAAAGATGCCAGTTTTCTTATTAATCTATCAGAAATTCAGTCCGCGTATATTTTGCAAGGACTGGTTTAAGATATCTGACTTAAAGATTTTAATAAAAATGGTATGCTAGAGTAAAAATTAAACACACCAGAAATACTGATTAAGCAACAAGTTCCCAGGCAGATTCTCTGGCAGTTACAATTCACCTGTCAAATTAAGGTATACAATGAGAAATAATCCAAAAAGCCCCTAAAACAATTCACAAGATATCCATTTAAAGTGAAGCCATTCTTCTATTTCCTCTCACACCAATCAAGCTCATCTCACCCTTCAAAATATATTTATCAAATAAGAAATTGTTTCTTCTCCAAAACACTTCTTAAATTAAAATACCAGTTAAATTCAGCACACTTCAAAAAATTCTCAAACCTTTCTGTTTGGAAAGTATGCTAAGAACACTGTGTACTATTTGTAAAAACAATAAACTAGAACTTAAGAAAGTACCTTTGTGATGTTATAGATACTAATACAAAAATACAGATAATGCTGTCACTAAGATGTGACACAAAATCATTCCTTGAGCCTGCTGTTGGCAGTTAAAACTACCACTGTAACTGGACATCCTTTACATACATACCCATACAAATCAATAAAGAATAAAAGCAAAGTGACAGAGGTAGCTAGGGATGACTTCAGTACTTCCTATAACACACTATGACCCTCAAAATCCGTATCTCAGCATTCCAGATGCTCTGCTTAGAGATGTTCCTCTATGAACATGTATTACTCTCCCTGATTGATAATAGTCAAAATAACAAGTAACCCAAAGTTTAGATTATTCTTTAGTGAGGACGAGATAAAAAGTGAAAGAACAAGGCATAGGTAAAATAAACAGCTCACCATTAAAAGGTATTCCACCGCTCTGTCAGGATTGTTGAAGCTGGCCCTCAGCGCCGCAATTACTTGCTCTCGTTCATAGCCCATTGACATGATCTCAGTCACCATATTCTCATAGGACTGACCTGTCACTAGAAGTAACATGACCACCATTTTAAGGGAATAAGGCAAAAAAAAAAAAAAAGCACAAGAAAGTTTCAGTGGGTAAATTTCATTTCCACCCAAACTTGAGTCGTTCATTGAAGAGTAAAGAATAGCTCATATTAAACTTGCCATGGTTCTGTTACTTTAACTCCAAATATATTCTGGTGGTTTCATTATGAATTTGATTAGAATAGTAGAGGGTAATGAACACCATGCAAACTTCTACTGAAAAAAGCAGCACTTGTGATACTTCCATACTTGAAATTTTATTCCCTCTCTATGCTTTCATCTAAGGTCAAGTGCATTCTCACAGCTAACATACAATAGACATCTATCACATCAAATCCCTCACCTCTTACAGCATAAATGGACTAAAACTGGCCCACACCTGCAGCCACCAAGACAAAAGGGTACACACACTATATATGGAGCAATTTAAGGACAACTGATCACTACACTAATGGTATCGTAAGGAAATTTATTATCTCTTCTCACAATCCATTTTATTTCCCTTCCTTAAAAGCAGACAGCAGGTTTAACAATTAAAAAAATTATGTCTTTTATTATATATTGTAGCTGAGCAACATCTTACAGGTTATCTTCCCATGCAAAAACGGTAAAAAAAATCCAAACCTGGCCATTAAAATACCATCTGCTTCCTTGGATAAAGTTATTCCTGGTCTCAGTGGAACCCTACTACTGACTGTAACACTACCAAGTTAGTGGCAGGAGAGTTAAATAATTAACAGTCATTATAAAAAACAGATTGAGAAAAGTTGAGGAAACAAACACTCCTGAAACTACTCTGTTAAGTGAGTCACAATTGAATGAACCAAAGAAAATAGCAAGTTTTATTCCCTTACGTAGGTGTTTAACTTGTGCCAATACTAACAATCACTTTGCTTGAATTTTAAAGAATGCTTCTAAATAATCAGTGGATGTATGACTGAGGGCAATATACTCAAGAACAAATAATACAACAGCCCTAGTCCAAGGATATTTGTGCATTATCCATAAACATAAGTAATCGATTTACAACCCTTGACTAGTTTGAGTATTTGTTGTTCGGACTTCAAAATAATAGTGCCAACTTGAGTTTTAGGAATGGTAAGATCATGTCTTCATATACAACTACAAGATCATTTTGCATCTATCTTCCTTTTTTTCAAAAACATTAAAAAAAAAAATCACCTAAACTTTGTTCTAAAGATACATATTTCTGTACATGTCTTCAGAGAAACAACAAGGCCAAGCCAACAATTGTTCCAACACAGTGATTTGGCTAAATTTACTGCTCATGTTTTCTTACACAGTACTAGTTTACATTTACTATTGCTAACGAACTAATCAAGGTAAACAGCAGACAGAACACCTTTTGATCTAATTAGTTACTACTTAAACATTTCTGTAGTTCTCTTTCAATATAAGCTAGGTAGAGACTAGAATAGTATGAGAGATTTGCTACAGAAAAAAAAAAAGATGGAAGATCATCGACTTGCTCTGTACAGACTGCTACATAAGCCATAATTAAAAGCCAAAGAAGGAAACAGAATTACTGTGAATTTAGGCACACATACTCCATATGCAGTCTACTTACACAAGTCATGAAAAATAAGACCAAGAGTAACAATTCAGGAATTGCACGCCAGCAGTGTCATGATACAGTGTCAAGTCTTTCTCCACATAGTGCTACTGGGAATGTTTGAGGTCAGTGCTAAACTGATTCTGCTCTTTGCTTTTGTCTTTCAAATATTTTAAAGCTGGATTAACTTTCAAATCCAGTTCACCACACTCCCCACAATAATTCTCGTCCTGTGCCCTAAAGAAAGCTTAGGCTGCTCCAGTGAAAGATGTTCAGACGTTCATGTACCATACATGCAGATGTTCATGTAGCACACAAAGCCACATCGGTTCTCAGACAGCGTACCTAACTGAAAACAAAAGCAAATCAGTAGAAACTAATCCCTGTTTTTAAAGTGAAGTCAATTATCTTCAGACAATGTAATTTAGAAGCCACAGTAAGAACATGCCTAGGATCCTACTTAGGATGTAAAAACATACTACAGGAATTTGTGCAAGCCCTTTTAAGATAGCTTCTCAAGAAAAAAACCCCACAGAGTTCATTCCTATTGCCTTTGAAAATTTTTTGGTATATAACCCTTGCAGTATGCTTACCCAGGGAACTACACTCAATGCCTGTTATTTCCAAACTGTTAGGGACATATGGGTTTACTGTATCAGATACTTATCAAAGAACTTACTTATAAAATGGATAGTGAGGTGACCCTCTCCCGATACGCTGAAAGGAGATTGTTTTTTTTTTTTCAATTCTGAAGATAACTGAATCAAGACCACCAGGTTAGTTAAACACATTGGTCATTACTGTTAACATGAGTACTTTTGATGACCACATCTGGGCTGCTAAGGTATAATGAACGATTAATGAAGCCTGCAGCACCTTTGATGGAAGCAGTCACTTTAAAAACATAGCAGAACTTGGCTGGTTGTCTCCAACAGCATCTATCAGCTATTTCAGCTCATGCATTTCTTCAGCCTAAAACAATATGTTGTAACATAAGGCCTAAGCTGCTGTTAGACAGACTAAGCCTGGTGGCTACCACCAATACATATAAAACATTACTACTGCTTCTAAATCACCTTGGGCTGCTTAATCACAACACCTGGCTCCAATAAATCCATATACCCCTACACAAAAATGTAAGTGAAACTTTTTAATTAGTTTTACTTTTTGTACCAAGTTGAAGCTTCATGTTTAGAGATAAGTCAAAACAAAAAACCCACCTCCCCCTTTCTTCTGTGTCTTAATTTTCTACATACTAAAAGAGAAATAAATCCCCTCCAAAAAATTAAGGAGCTGTGGGTTTGCCTTGTAATTTCCTAGCTACCAGAATCAGCATAAATAAGGAGCAGAACTTCCTAGTTTTTATGATGTTTATTCCACTGAGAAACAAAGGCATTTAACTGTTAAAAGTGAATTGACTATAAGTATATGGAAGCATTAATTCCTCAACCCAGATAGCAGTAGATTTGGTGAATTTATGTAATCTAAATGTGTCAAAAGACAGTACCGTCAAAGCTCAAACAAATAAATAACAACGGCAGCCATTTCATCAGACCTGCACACTGGTAAGCAAAGGTGAAAAGTGTATACATATCTATGTCCAGTCTTCTATTCAAGCCACTTCAAACTGAATAGTTAGAAGAGAAATTACGGCAAATGGGGGAAAAAACCAGGAATGATAAAGATCTTCCTTTTACACAATAAAAATATATGAAGTGAAATATTCTTCAGTAAAGAAGTTCTTGGTGCTGGTTCTAAGATACCAACTTTAGGTCTTAGAAGAGTACTGTGACTACAACAATGACAGATACAGAAGAGAATGTCAACATCTGCTAGTCTGTCATTTGTTTCTGCTGCACCAAAATAATGTCTACATTAAAAAAACACTCCACTTACCAAGTGCACTTATAGCATCCTCAAAAAGATTTGATCGAGATGTATCACCTGTTGTACTGTAAGATGAAGACAAGTGCAATGGTAATTACAAAACTTTGGAAAGTTTCCTGTTTTTCAAAAAAAGCAGCAGCAGCTGTAACTCTAATAGCCCCTCTTGTTTCTGAAAAACCAACAAACCTTTCAAAAGAGCTCTTATGGTCTTCTAGTGAGACCAGATTTTTACAAACTTACAATGCTACCATTTTTAACATAAGGCCAACCTTCCCCCCTACCCCCCCAGTAGTTTGGCTCTTGCCCATCTGCTCAGGGATTAGCCATCTGCTTGCTTGAATGCTTTAAATGGTGGGAGAACACGGTGGGTTTTCAAGAGCACACAGCAGTCTCACTAACCGCTTCCTCACAGTCACTGGTTTGACCTCTGTGAGGACCCAAAGAGGTCAGTGGCAAGCACTTATTAAAATCTCACTATCCTACTTTCCCAGGAATATAAACTGCTAACATTTGCAATTACTCCATCTCAAATTATCAAAGCTGTATAAATTACAGGATTAAAGGCTCACCTCCATGAACACCAAGAAACACACAGGCACAACACCAGGCAGAGGAACCCCAGTCAACTGGGAGCCAAGAGTGCCCCCTTCCTGGCTCCTCCCAGGGCTGCAACTGAATGCATCAGGCCCCTTGGTCTCAGGGTGACACCCCTGACGGGTCAACAGGAGAAGTTCTACAGGTCTCCTTACAGATCAAGGGCATTACTGCCTACAGGGTAGTGTGACTCACCATGGGGTGCCAGGAAAAAGCATTTGGGGATTGTGCAAGACTAATTATGGGATAATTAGGGGAAGAACTAAAGGCAGGGAAAGGGAAGCATCAAGGTACCTGCAGCTGAAATGCATGGGTAAAGAGAACAAAAAGAAGAGAAAAAGGGCCAGTCCCAGATAAACAGCACTTGCCTGGCCATGCCCTGCACCTGATCACCAGTCCATCCTGTTTTCTAATTAAATTCCATTTCCAACTATTTTTCATGCTGGGAAGGATCTCTCTATTCTGCATGCATGTGTGTGTATGACAGTCTAAGGGCCCACAACTGGACAGGGAAATGTGAGCTGCAGGAACCCACACGTCTGTGGAGCCAGCAATGGCAGAGATCAGACCTCATGGAAGTTGCAGTGCCAGAGGCCGCAGGGGTGCAGGTACCTGGGGTGTTGGCAACTGAAGAGACTAGAAGTGCATGCATATTCCATGTGGATGCATACATTGACATGTGTGTAACCACCAGCAAGCATCAAAGCCTGACTTCCATGAGTAGGGTAAAACACTTAAAAGCCAGGTATTGAATGGCTGTGAGTCAGACTCAGCTGCTGGAGAGATCAAAGGGTCTGAGAGAGGAGCTGCTAGAAAGACTGTAACATCTGGGGGTCAGCTACTGGTAAGGTCATAGGCCTCAACCAGCCAGGGGAGAGACCTGTTTGTGTGTCCATGAATGAGACAACTGGGAGACAAGGGGATCTAGAAACTAGCTACTAGGTTCAGTGCACATCCACAGCCAGTTCCTAGATGGATCCTCTGCGTGTGCATGTGTGCACAGAGAATCTGAATATCAGCAACTGGAACAGGGCTGCAGGGCTCAGGCAGTCACATGCCTAGGTACCAAAAACTTACAGAACTGACAGATCCAGGGGCCAGCTATCAGAACGAACCGTCTAAGGCCAACTACTGGAGAAATTTGTACTGTTCATTTAAATGTCTGCACATATGTATTTTGCACTAGTGGGCTTTGCCCTGAGTAGCCAGAGGGGAACAGGATGCAACTGCTGGTGTTGTATGGTTGCTTGTGTGCTCTTTTTTCCTGCCTGTCTTGACCTATGAAAACAGCCATATATATAGGTATAGTACATATTGTGAGTAGGTACTGGGAATACATGTTCCATCTTGATACTCAGGAGAGCTGGGGACACAGAGCTGTAGCAGCCTCACATCTATCAGGCTACCAGAATTGGCAACTCTTATCAGCAAGTCATAGATCAGATTAATCTGAATCAGTTTTCAGAAGATGCCATTAAAAAAAAAAAAAAACAAACCAAACAAAAAAAAAATATCTAAGAGATGCATTTTTTTAATGTAAGAAAAAATTTGTTCCAACAAGAATGCTTCACTACTATCTATCACTAGTAAGATTTAAAACTGAAAAAGATCAAAGGCGAAATAAGACACCAGCTTACTTGGCCATGGTTCAATAAATCTTCACCAGCCTTAGTCATTTAACTTCTAAAGCAAATCAGAAACAAGTAGTACTCACTGAAATCAAGGTGGCCAGTAACTACAATTTATTTGTTAAATTATTCTTTTTCTTCCTGTTAAGTACACACACTGAGGCTCCTTTAATGCAGTTTTACAACACCGCAATCTGTACAGGGAAAACCTGGAACGCACTATTTCAGTAGCAAGGATTTAATCTAATCTATCAACCTACTGGACAAACTGAGCAGCAAAAAACCCCATTCATTAACATGAAAAAAATTTCTAAGTTATTTGACTGATAACTGAAGGTCCATTTGTATTACGTTTTAAAAAAGACATCCATTTCTCAGAATTGTAAGATTAAATCATCAACTAGGGTATTCAGTGAAAGAAACCTGCGATGACATTTTCAAGATATTAGGCAATTGCAAGTTTTGTTTCTTTATCATCAAATCAATATTTGATGGTGTTTAAATACAACCACTTCAAAAATTAATGGCTTGTGAACCAGTATTCACATAAATAGCACACAAATAATTGAAAGCCAGTGTATGAAAAACAAAGATGTGACACTAAGCAGCACTCAAGGGCCATTAAATTACAGTTAACATTTTTATCCCATGCAATACTTAAGCAACTTCAGGTGAGCAAAAAAAGACCACAGTATACAACAAACCTCTAACTTCTATTTTATTTTCTTAAATGTAGATAATTGAGGTTAAAAGCTATTCCAACTCCCACAGCTGTCTGCAGATGGGCCAAGAAGCATTTAAAACAAATAACCTTGTAGCTTTAAGACACTACATGATTAAGAGCAATACTATATCCTACATTTTAGAAAAGAAAGCTCTTTCCAGAAATTAAGACACTCTTGCAGCAATAAAGAACGTATGGTTCAAATCTAACCAATGTGATTTCAAAACACAGAGGTCTATGAATAGGTCAGGACAGAACCATCTGAACAGTATGGGATCCCCATGGAGGTGAGTATCCGCAGTCTGAAAACAAACTTGTGCCACACAAACTCTGAAATGCTGAACAGAAGCACAAGTCCTGTGTCTTTTAACTCTCCACTCTGTAGGTTTAGTCCCGAAACCACACATCCCACAGGAAAAGGTATAAGCAGGGAGGGGCACTTCTTACCATCAGTAATATTATACTTGAGCCGGTGACTGAAGTTACAGTTAAGAAAGAAGAAGAATTATGGAGAACTGAGAAAATGATTGGACTAACACTGTAATGGAAAATTCAACTCAAAAGCAAAACTAGAAGCAACAGAAATGGACAGGGAAGCCGTTTTTGGAGGCTCAGTCATACCTGTCAGTTGATGATGAACTGTCAGCACCTCGTGCTGGTTTTTCCACTGGCTTTTCTTTAGGAGCACTCACAGGTACAGATTCACAAGCAACTGCCTCTGGTGATGGAGGGACAGGAGCTGGCACAGGGGCAGCAACAGGGCTTGGTGCAGCGGCTGGTGTGGGAGCTGCAGTTGTCGAGCTAATAGTGGTAGTCTCTCCAGATGCTGCTTTGGGCTATAGAGGACAACAGAATTCAGACACAGGACAAAGCTCCTAAACCCATGCTTTCTACAGTCAAAACACATTGCTTAAGTTCTCTTAAGAACATCTGTATTTGACATTGCTGCCTCAACATCAAGCATAAAATACTGCAAGACATTAAATCTGTAATGCCTTTTATTGTGTTTAAACAGGCAATTGATAGTGTCACTGAAGTATTTATTTAGACACCTAAGCAGTCACACTATCCGAGTATGAAGTTAAATGCAAAGATAAGATGTAAACATTTATGGACCACAATACTCTAAACATGAATACCATCTTGTGTTTTACAAAAGCGCATTTTTCAGAAGAAACAAAAACAGCTGTCAAAAGACACCTGACAAGTGCAATTAAGCATAAAGGTTTTCTCATTGCTCAAATTTGAAAAAAAGTAAGAGAGACAAATTACATTTCATTATGAATGCTATTTACTGGAAGGTGAGATATTAAAAAATTTAAACTTGACCTGCATCAAGCTTTAAATATGCACTCTCTTCATCCAAAGCTCTAAATAAATGTCATGCACTTGAGTTCTGCAGTGAGCACCAAAAATCCAGCAGAATCAAGGACTACCAGATCTACAGCAAGAAATCTAGAGTAGGTAATACTTGCATATAACTTTGATTTAATCTTCACATCTCTATTGGAAACATGAATTTTGCTTGGATGCAGTATTAATCCCGTTATATAGAAATCATACTTTTCAGAATGCAAGTAACTTCCAGCTAAGGTACAGAATTAGTTTCTGAAAGCTGTATCACTGTAGTCCTTCACCTACGAATATCCTTAAGGATTGACAAAGCTGACCCCCATCTCTGCCTTACCAAGAGAAATAGTTGAACTTTAACAAAACACAACTACTTATTCAAGGTGAATCACTTTCAGACAACATTTGCTTGAACTAGGAAAAATGTTATTTCCTCCTTTTGTCTGAAAGGAAAAGAGAGGTTGGAAATGAACAGCTTCCAACAGGATAGGCACAATAAAGAACATTTTAAGAAGCATTCAACGAAAAACACTGAAACACATCTGAGCATCAGACAAAGTTAGCTATTGTGCTTATGTGACAGGGCATGTCTTATCCAGAAAAGAATAAAGGAAAGGGAATCTGAGCTTTTTAAAGACTCAGCAAAAAGATTGTAACAGTGAAGAAATGCCCCAACTCCAAAACACAGGTCCTCTAATATAAGGTGTTGCATTTAGCAGTTTATCATGGAGGTATTTCTTCTGCTACAAACAAGATGAAAGCTGTATTCTGAAATCCCACCTGCACCTGTTTTCTTGTACTGATAAATGCCTCTTATCCAGGCAGACTAGACTAGAATGCTGTTTGTTCAGGAAGACAGCAGTAACAGTTATGTTCAAACAGAGAATCTAGTGAGCCAATACCAGACACAAGCGAAAGGAAATTAAACGTAAGTTTTCTTTGTCAGAAGGAGGACCTGCAACTCCAAAATTAGCTTCACATCTCAAGACAGAGATGCAGCCATTTTTATTCAGATCGCAAGGGTCTGTGAATGCCTAGAAAAATCAGTAGCTTGAATCCCGGAAACAATCAGGCGACTGATTAAGAAGAGGGATACTTCAAATACACATCACAGTCATTATGCTTTCATTTGCCACTGCAGTCATTCAAAACTCACAGGTTTGTTGATTGGCATATGTATCCTTTCTCTACTGGTTTAAGCTGTTGAGCTTGACAAAAGAAACAGCCATGAGTTTTGAAGAGCAACCATGGCAAGACTGGAAGGGTTCTGTACAAAGGATTTAGTAACAAACTATCTAGGTTCCCTTCTTCCTTTTAATAATATCTTACTGGAAAAATAACACAGACAAGAAAGAAGAAACAGTAAAATCAGATAGTGGCAATTTTTTGATTTGATGTAAAATTCAGAACAGAACAGCAACAACAATCAGCATAGGCAAATTAGGACTGTGAAGCAGTACTCCATAGATATTCACACAAGTATTTATTTTTACTGTTGACCTAAACTTTCACATGATCGAATTTCACTGGTTTTAAGGATAGGCATATATAATCACTCATCACAATTTAAAAAAAAAAAAAAATGAAATTAATGCAATTTCTTTAAAAAAAATGACGACTACTTACTTTTGTCACCATAACCACCACAAAGTTCTTCTTATCTATTTTGTATTCTTTAAGAGCAGTATCATCATTCAGGATTTTACCTAGCAAATTAAACAGATACAAATTAAGAAGTTATTTAACAGATCATTAGATGACCTTGGGATTCTCTCATATAAACACAGTTCCAAAAACCCCCCCATAAAAAACACACTTTATGCAGATTTATAAACATCAGTAACTCTACAAAAAGTGTTTGGCTATTTAGTTTTGTCAGTAGAGCTACAAGTAGTTTTCTCCTATGATGTCCACAGTATTAGTTAGCTTGAAGGCTGTTGCCTCAGTGTTGAAGATGCTACAAATAATTTAAAACAGAAGCATTAAATCTAGGAGAAGATTTTCTGGACCTTTAACACAGAAACAAGTAATGTAGAGGAAAGGCTTTGGCATACAGTAAGCTTAACTGAATAACTTATGCCTGCTTACACACTCTAGACAGTTAGAAAATTCTTTCCTGCTTATCTTCTGTTTGCCCTTCACATGTTGTAAACTACAGTTCCCTGCCATGCACTAAGTTTATCTGCATTAGATAACTTTGTGACTTCGCATCTTCAACAATTTGTTCTGAAGAAAAGGCTAAAGCATTAGAAAAAAGTTAGAAACATTCCATACCCTGCAACCTTGATATAAAACTGATCAGACAGAACCATAAACGTTTTGCTATACTAACACTTTTGATGTTTCATAAGCATATATGGTACTGTGGCAAAGCAGATTTGCCTCATGCCTTCAAGAACTCAGAAACACGTTAAAATACACACTTTTTTTTGGATAAGCTGATTCAGAGGCAGTACCACAAATCAGAAAATTAAGTCTGTATTTCAGTGAGTTTTATAGCACCTACTTCTAATACAGAATTTTCAGGAAATGTTTTATGGTTTTAATTTATTCGTTTTCTGAAAGATGTGCCAAGGACTGCTTCCCTATTTCAAGAGGAAAATACACATTTTCATAACCATTCTCAATGATAGTGGAATACACCACTTAACTGCAGCTAGCAGGACATGTCCTTATCCTGATGTTTGCAAGGGAATCAAGCAATGCATATGCATTACGGCACTTGGAATGCAAGCGAGGTGGCACTGTCCTACTTTCTACTGGTTCCACCAGTATTCCAGGTCAAATACTCAAAATATTATATGTACTGTAGTAGTAATAGTAATAACTGTAGCAGATAGTGCAACATCTGACTCAGAATGTACACAGGTTTACTTAATTAACTTAACTTACTTTTCTGGTTTATAGGCACTTTGGGGAAAGAAACTGCACAATGTATATATGCAGACACCCTATCTTCTCAGAACACACCACTCTGAGGTTTCTAGACCTAATAGAGATGATGACACAATAAATCTTCCTCACCATTGAATAGCGTAACCTTTTTTCTAAAAAAATTTACAAGCATTTTTAATAATAGTATACTTTTAATCAGGTTCAGTTGGGATATCACTCTACTTTGTCAAGTTATGAAAATTCTAAAGTTCATTTTAATCAAAGTAATAAAAATGTCATCAACACAACCCTGCTGGGTCTCTTCTTGAAGAATAAAACACAATCAATCTCTGGATGTTCTTCTACTTTAAATCTTATTTCCAACTGCTTATAAGAATTATACAATGCTGCAAATAAGTCACATCATATGATCCTATGCAACCCTTCATTTTTTTAATCACAGAAACATAATATTAAGAGTGCCATGCAACTATACGTATTGCATAAGGCCTTCTGCCTTGTTCATATTTCTTTACTATACATGTGACTGACCTTCATGTTCTGGATGTGCATTCCCTTCACTGTACTGTAAGGGACATAAAACTTGCTAAGAAACACAGCCATGAGGACTCTGTATAAACATGGAGAGTCTCACAATTTCTCTTCCATTAGCGTCTTTCCTTTGTGATCAGTGGCTTTAGCTTACTGGAAGTGAAAAACCACTACTGTTTACAAAGCAGTACACTGAAGAAGTAAAAAGACCAAAGTTACTTTCAAGCACAGTTTTAGAGGAAAAAGCACTAGAGTGGGTATTGGAATAGAACTTTTTCAGTTCTAAAATTAAGTGAGAACAAAAGATTTGATCTGTGTATTACTGCCAGAATGGCCCAGCCAAGTAGAAAACAGTAAAAAATAAATAATCTGATTTTTAATTCTCTGAGGTATATACAGGAATGCTTTAGCTATACACAGATTAATCTGAACAAAAGAGTTAACCCAGAACATCAGATGTTATCTGCTTAAATCCTGATTTCTTGTGACAGAAGATGTTTCTACTTCACCTAGTACACCTCACCCAGAACTAACACTGTTAGCATATCATGCTGTAAGAGAAAGACAACAAGAGACACACGTGTATTAAGCCCTGAAAAATTCTGATTCAAAGAGTTCCCTTTGTTTCCAAGAGACACCCTTGTTGTTGAATTGTTGGCTTTTTTTTTTTTAACCTGTTTACATTTCAGTACTTATAATCTTTAGAAAATTTAACATGCATATCAAAATCAAAGGAGGACATAAAATATAAGGTAGATTCAGATACAGTATCTTCAGAATATCCATTACCTGCATAGATTAGTTTTTGGCCAGCTACTGGAAAAGCATCTTTTCCCTTTTCTGATTCAATCTTCTCTTTCAGTGCCTTCACCTAAAGCACAGAAACAATCTTAATGAAAAAAAAAAAAAAAGTAGTTTCACCATACAAACCTAATTAAGTACACTTTGTTCCAAGATTTAAATACTAAAAAGTAGTTTTCAGTCATATCTTCATTATGTCAAGTACACCCGTCTTCCAAAGACATCATTGTAACCACCTGCAGAGCAACATGTTCCTTTCCCAAATAATCTCTTGTGCTTAATCAAATTAGATAAGTGGTTTCTCCATGAGAAGTCTTTAAATATGAGATTACAACACACTGAAAAAAATTAAGACATTTGGGCAAAAAATACTTTTATCTACTGACCCTTTCCCCCTCCCTGTTCTTTCTCTGAGTGCAGGGTGTATACATGCTACACACTGCTGACAGCTTTCTTCATCATAATGACTCTTTAAGGAACACCTGTTTTTTTGGTAAGGTCACCATGACATTTGATTTAACTCACTGAAATGACTTGAAGCCTTGATATGCAAAGACTTGTGCAAACTGTCCAGTTGTTCATTTTATACAAGTAGTTTTCAACTCTTTCCCCTTCCCTGTAATTTCTGGAGCTTTGCATAAGCAATTTTAAGCTTATAAATGAAAGCGTTTTGACTTATTTACTTGCTTACACAGACCACTGACACAATAGCCCACACTTTCAGAGTACCACATACAATAGCTCAAATGACACTGTGTTAGCTGTCACAATCAGAATGCCTTTATTCTCTGGAAACACTATCCTGAGGAGATAAAGGATGTTCCTGTAGAAGCATTTCTGGATTGATATATTCTAAATCATATTTTAAGACAAACTGCCTGTATACTAACATTCATTATTCTTCCTTCCTGACACGCTCCCAATAAATCTAAAACAAAGACAAACAATCTATTATGAACTTATTACTGCAAACTAACCCCATCTTCTAAAGTTTTTTTTGCCCTTAATATTCATAAGCATTTTTCATGAAATACTGCAATTGAGATGCATATACCTAGCTATTTCATAGCTAAGCACATGAAAGTATGTTTATCTTGACAGCTTAATCCAACTGGCAACTACTTGTGCCACAGGTAGCTCTAATGAGGCCAGAACTATTTCTCTTGTTTAGATCAAGGCATGTTCCATTTGTATTATTTTCTTCCTTTCACGCACATAGTGTAGTTAAATGTAACAAGATGTTTTGAAATGTGCAACTTTTCTCCTAGAAAATTTAAAATAGACCTTGAGATGGTTTGTTAAGTTTCTTGAGTACCTCTGATAACAAGGGCCCAAGATGCCTGTGTCAAGATAAGCACCTGAGAATTAATTAAAAACTGACCTTCTTGGAGCATCCCAGGGTCAAAAAATAGATGAGCTAACTACATGACCATATATGGGCAAAGGAAGACCAAAGTTCAATCATTGGACACTGTGAGGAAGACTAAGACATCCCCCCACCAGAGGGGGAAAAGACCCTAACAGTAATTTTATCACGCATGCTCAGACTATGTAGATAAGAGTGAATTTCTGCATTTCAGTAGTATTAGCCTTTTTTGTTGATTTTTAAAGCAGTTGCTCACTATTAGGGTTGCTTAAGTAGTAAATATACTGAAACAGTAATTTCAGGTGCTAAATGGTAAATATTAATCAAGAAGCTGAGCTTTGTGATTCTCAGCATAATTAAAGTGTCAACCACTTCCCATGCCAGTTATGCTTCCTGGATTCACTTTATTCTTCTGTTAATGATGTCTTAGAGCTCTGTGTTACCTTCACCCTTTTCATTCATCAGTCCCCTTGCTTCTCCCTCTTCCTCTGAGATTTTATTTCCGTGTTTCTTTATCAATCTCTTTACCAGGCTAATCCTTTCAGTTTGGATGTTTGGTCCGAAAAGGTCAAACCAAACTTTAACACTCACAATGGAGCTGCATCTTTTTTGCAGTATACATAAAAAGGAGTGTTTGTTTCACCAGGCTTCATGACCCAGCAAAAGAGGCCTGCAGAATCAATCAAACTTCTCTAAGCTTACATTTGATGTAGGTGATTAAATCACTACCTACAAAAGGATACAGAATACAACATAGGACTTCCATCTATGGGACTACTCCAAAATAGGAAGCCAACTCTTTTTTTTTTTTTTTGTCCTCAGTAGATGGAAAAGGATGCTCATGGTATTCTGATTAAGCATACCATCCCAGCACCTGCCAAAAGCTTTAGAATCAGTCACCAGACAGCTAGTTGCTTTTCCACAGCAAAACTAACAGCAGCTCACTCCCATCCATAAGCCTTCAGACAGGGTCAAACCATTACTCATTTTAATAATAATTTACTGATATCATCACTGTTCTCATTACAAAACTCTGTTCTATCCCTGGATTTTACATTTGTTTTAGAAAAGTATTTTCTTGAAAACTAAAAATCTAATTTGTGAATTCCTCCCCAGTTATTATTTAAGGCTGTAAGTCACTCACATTACAACTGAACAGTCTCCTTTGGCCACGGATAAGCCATCAAGCATTTTTTTCTGAACTTTAGAGTATTAGATACTTCGAGCAATTCCTGTTAAGTGTCTTGCACCTACTAGGGCAAATTAACCCCCTGAATCATGTTAAAAGCCTGCTGCGTTTTCAAATGCCTACTTTCTAACCCACTGCTTACCGACTAATATACTTACTCACTTGTACTCATCGCTCAAAAGATGAGGTCTCAAAGCTTCCTCTTTCATTCACAATCACCATATTTGTCATGGATTTCTGACAAATATTTGTAATGTGATTAGCTGGTATAATCTATTTTGAGGGAGGAAATTAAGGCTTGTTTCATGTCCACTGCACTCAATCAGGCTACTGGTTTCAAATGTCTACTTTGTTTTCCTCATGTTTCAGTGCTTTAGTTTTATTCCAGACTACAGTCTTTTTCCCCCAAGGAACAAAACCACAATCTGTTCTCTCAAATAAAAATGTCTGAACAGCTAAATGTGGTAGCTTAGGTCAGGACACACTAAATGCATGTGTTAATTAGTACACAATAATTGGATCCATGCAAAAGAGTTAAGAAATTTACTGCAGCAAAATACTGACAGTAAAATTCCAATGATCCATTTGCCTTTGCTGTCCACCTCATGTGCAGTGCCTCTCCATACTAACATATGATTGACGTACTGCAAATGACCTGGGGCACTTCCCTCTTCCAAAACCTTCTGTGTAAGTCTGTGACAAAGGACAGGGCTATGCTTTCATCCCTTTGGCAGGTGGCACTCCTATCCAGACATTGGGAAACTGTAATTTACACTATGGGGCTGAGAGACTTGAGAAAAAATGTTTGTTATGACAATGGATGAACAACAAGCAGTATTCATAGAATAGTTTGAATGGGAAAGGACCTTTAAAGGTTATCTAGTCCAGCCCACCCTGCAATGAGCAGGGACATCTTCAGCTAGATCACAGTGCTCAAAGCCCCATCCAACCCGAACTTGAATGTTTCCAGGGATGAGGCATCTACCACCTCTCTGGATAACCCATCCCAGTATTTCACCACCCTCATCATAAAAACATTCTTCCTTATATGTAGTCTGAATCTATCCTCTTTTAGTTCAAGACTGTTACCTGTTATCCTATCACAACAGGCACTCCTAAAAGGTCTGTTCCCATCTTTCTTATAAGCCCCCTTTAACTACTGAAATGCCACTATAAGGCCTCCCCAAAGCTTCTCCCCTCCAGGCTGAACAACTCCAGCTCTCCCAGTATCTCCTCTTAGGAGAGGTGCACCATCCCTCCAATCACTTTTCTGGCCCTTCTCTGGACCCACTGAAGTAGGTCCATGTCTTTCCTGTACAGAGGATTCCAGAGGTGGACAGAGTATTCCCAGTGGGGTTTCACCAGAGCGGAGTAGAGGGGGAGAATCACCTCCCTCAGCCTGCTGGCCACGCTTCTTGTTATGCACCCCAGGATACAGTTGGCTTTCTGGGCTGCGAGCACACTTTGTCAGCTTATGTTCAGCCTTTCATCCACTAATACTCCCAAATCCTTATCTGCAATGCTGCTCTCAATCCCTTCAACCCCCAGTCTGTATTGAAACTATGGGTTGCACCAACCCAGGTGCAGGACCTTGCACTTGGCCTTTTTGAACCTTATCAGGTTCACATGGGTCTGCTTCTTGAGCTTCCCCAGGTCCCTCTGGGTGCCCTCAGGCACGTCAACTGTACCACACAGCCTGGTGCTGTCTGCAAACTTGCTGAGGGTGCACTCGATCCCACTGTCTGTGTCTATGAACCTGAGAAGGGGGTTGGGACTTGTGAGCATCTGTTCCATGACCTTCCTATGCACAGAGGTGACACTGACAGGTCAGTAGTTCCCAGCAGCCTCTCCTTTCTACTCTTTTTAAAACAAGGGCATGTTTCCCTTTTTTTCAGTCACTTTGGATTTCACTTGACTGTCATGACTTTTTAAATATGAAGAGTGGCTTGGCAACTATGTCAGCCAGTTCCCTCAGGACTCTGGAATACATGTCTTCAGGTTCCTTAGACATACATATGTTCAGGTTCCTCAGGTTGTCACAAACCTGATCTTCTCTTACAGTGAGAGGAACTTTGCTCCCCCAGCCCCCATCTTGAGGTGTATCCACTTGAGAGGTGTGGGAAGAGAGATTGCCAATAAATACTGAAGCAAAAAAGTTGTTGAGTACCCCAGCCTTCTCATCCGTTGTTATCAGTTTGCCAGTCATGTTCATCAGTGGCAGGTACACTTTCTTTCAATTTCCTTTTTCAGATGACATACCTATAGAAGTCCTTCTTATTCTTTGCATCCCTTGTCAAGTTCAGATCCAGCCACGCCTGCACCTTCCTGATCCCATCCCTACACAACTGGGCATCATCCCCATAGTCTTCCCAGGATACCTGTCTCTGCTTCCACTGCCTGTGAATTTCCTTCTTGCCCTTTAGTTTGACTGGTCGGTCTCCACTCATCCATGCCTGACTCTTGCCTTCCTTTCCTGACTTCTTACACTTGGGAATCAAAAGCTCTTGTGCTCTATGGAAAACATCTTTAAAGA